GGGGGGGGGGGTCTGTGGAGAGGAAAAACTTTCGCCATTTTGTACTTGGATTGTTTCAAATGAGATCAACGGGAATGTTTTATTTTTTTAAATTTTGATGGTGAATAATGTTCTTTTTAATGCCAGAAGGGGGTGGACAAGTACGCGTGTTCTGTTAGCGCGGTCCATGCCTCTGTGCCGCTGTGGCGCCGCGGATGAAGAGAGACGCCAGGATGGAGACAAACGTGGCCCGGAAGTTCTTGTTCATCACGATGTAGATGAGGAAGTTGACGGAGCTGTTGAGCAGAGCCACCACGTTGACCACTTCCTGCAGCACCACTTCCGTCAGGCCCTGGTCGGCGCCGCTGTACAGGCTGCGGATGACGTCAGAGTGGAGCAGAAACACGAACGTGCTGCACACGGTGTAGAACAAGCAGACGACCAGGAGGGTGCCTGTGACGCGTGTGGCGCTGCCAGACTGCTTGGAGTGACCACGGGTCAGTTGACTCCGCCTCCGGCTCGCCATCTTGATCTTGAGGGACAGGACGACACAGCCGGTGAACACGTAGCAGATCGGGAAGGGGCCGAAGAGAACTGTGCTGAAGCTGGTGATGGCTGCCGTGCTGTCGAGAGAGTTCCGGAACACGGCCAGCTCGATGTAGCCGGGGCTGCTGGAGGCGTTGTTGGAGACAGAGGTCAGGTCATAGCCCAGGCTGGACAACACGACCAGGTAGATCATCATGCCGTACAGAACTCCCGCCACAGCCAGCACAGACACAAAAGTCTTTCTAGGGGAGACGAGCCGGGATATACTCATGGGGAAGAAGACGGCCAGGAGTCGCTCAGACGTGATGAGCAGGGGCAAGGTGAAGGACGTCCAGCCCCCGCCGTAGTCAAGGACGCGGAGAATCTCGAAGAAGACAAAGTGGAAGGTCGTGACCTTGGGGGGGTAGCGGAAGCCAGCGGCGGAGACAAAGCCGTAAGCGAACATGGCGGAGAGGAAGGAGGAGTCAGCGAGGGCCAGGGCCGCCATCAGGACGTTGTAGCTTTTGTCGAATCCCTGACGCAGAAGCACGCAGATGCTCATCACATTCCCCGCGATCCCGATCCCAGACACGATGGGGATGAAGACCGCGATGAGCAGGAAGGTCACCTGAGTGGCCTCACTTCTCGACAGTCCTCCTCCTCCCCCTCCTCCTCCCCCTCCTCCTCTTCCTTCCCCTCCTCCTGTTGTTGGTTCACTGAAGTTCTTTCTCCGTCCATGGTTCTCAGATGTAAAAACTTTGGTCAAAATGTCGGAACCGTCGTCGGCGAGGAGGGAGATGGTGGTGGAGGACAGGGGGTCTTCCAACAGCGCCATCTTGTGTCCACGCCTATGACGTTCTCTCAGTCAAAAGATGGCGCTACTAGCCTGACCCAGAAACCCACAGGTCCTGTATCTATCACACCTGTCCTGTATCTGTACTGTCACACCTGTCCTGTATCTGTACTGTCACACCTGTCCTGTATCTGTACTGTCACACCTGTCCTGTATCTGTA